GAGTTCAGCTGGTGTCTTGGCTTTACATGCCTTTTTACACCTCCCTTTCTTCATGTGTTCAATACTTTTTCCCTGTGCCATTCCACATTATTACAACTAACTTCATTTCTGGACATTTATGGTTTAATTTCTTTGTATTTATGGATCACTTTGGTTGTTACCGACAACTGATGGAAATTTCATGTCATTAGCACCTCTAGTAATATATTTACTGTGAAAAATGGTGACGTGTTCAATACTTATTTTACCCGCTGTGTATATACATACAGTGTGTGTATATATATATATATATGCAGTACCCACGTGGTAAAAATGTCATGAAAATCCGTACACAAGTTTTTGAGTAATGTTGTCCACAGACAGAACAACAGACAGACATACGCGACCGAAAACTTTACCTCGCCCTTGGTGGAGGTAACAACTTAAACAACTGATTTGTAATGAAAATGTTTGGTTTTTTCATCACCCTCTTTAAACTCCAGAAGAAAAGATTTTTTTTAAATTTTATTTGCAGAATTTTGTTATTTATGCTTATATTTATTACCGTAATTGCTTTTTGTATTTTTTCTTTGAAATCAAGCTGCTGGTTTAGCTGCTTTCATGCACTTTTACAACCCATCGCAGTATTGTTTTGGATAAAAACAGGATAAAAAAAACTTTCCTAACAATGTATATTCCCTGTGGCAGCACTATGGCATCTTGACCCACCAATCCAATGGCTTTAATACTAAACATACAGTGCTTCCATGCCAAGAACAAAGTCACGTCTCAGCTGGTAGTGCAGGGCCAAGGTGTATGCAGTAGCATGGCCTGACTATTATCTGTGTTGGGATGCTTATTGACCTGCCAGCATATGTGTTTTTGCTGTGAAGCTTGGTTGGAAGGCAGCAATTCCCCCTCTACATTCTCTTTAATCATGCAGAGCAAGGACTGGGTGAGACCTGGGGAGGGGGTGTGAGGAAGGCAGACTGTAAGCCTAGGCTTGCTCTATGTATCAAAGCAGGCAACCCCAGGATGCCAACTGTACTGTACCCACACACTGTACACAATACACACACACACACACATACACACTAACAGCCCATGGTAACAAGTTTCTTCCTACTTTTGTTAATAAGCTTCCAGTTGTAACTGGGTTTACAATTTAATATGATGCGTGCATAACAAAAAACAAAAAAACTTTGTTTAATGAAATGCTGGTATTTTTTAGTATGTTTGATAGTTAAACTTTTCTTTGATGCTGTATGTTTTGAGATGTTTAATGTCTCTTATTTCATCTTTATTTTCCTTCACAAGGTGGCAGGCATAGTGGGCCGAGCAGACCTTCTGTGCACGCTCTTCTTTCAGCTCTCTTTCCTCACTTACTGCAGAGCTTTTAACAAAGGTTCGTATCAACTCTGATTAAATGCACCCGTTTCAACACCTTCACTTTAATGTCAAACTGTGATCTGTTTTGGTCTCTGTGTTGTCAGGGAGTGATAGCTTTTCTTTAAAATGGGTCATAGTCAGCCTTGCTTTGTGTGCTGCAGCAATGCTTTGTAAAGAACAAGGCATCACCGTTCTGGTATGTTTTACTTTACTGATGTATTTTTTTAATATTTACGATTTTTTTTCTTATTTACTGCTCACAGGTTAATTACCTAGGTTGAATTGCCACAGATTGTGGCATCTTTTTTAACATGCAAAACTCAACAATTTATGGAAAGAGTCCAAGTTTCTTAACGTTGTTTACCTACAGTATATACTCGTATCTTCCCTCAGGGCCTAAACGCAGCATTTGACGTCCTCCTCATCTGTAATGTTAATGTGTATGAACTTTGCCAGAGGCTAATCTTTAGGAAGACTCCACTTGATGTGAGTTACAATTTATATGCCCTTCTCATACATTCGGAATCATACATTTTTTTATATGAATAATGTTGCATCACATACATTTTCTATTCAAGCCTGTATGAATTTCAGCAAAGTTACTGAAGAGGCACAGGTTCAGTTGAATAACAATTTAAGTAACAATTGGTAACATTTTTCTTGACAGCTAAAGGAGGTGCAGAGAATGGGTTTGCTACCACGGCTTGCCCTTCTGGCTCTTGGAGGACTCTCCATGCTCTATGCACGCTGGAGGATCATGGGTACAGGACCGCCAGCATTCACAGAAGTGGACAACCCTGCCTCTTTTGAAGAAAATATATTTATTAGAGTGAGTATGATTTAATTCTGATTTAATTCATTTYAAGAAGCACTTTTTCTATAACTTTAGTAAAATCTGTTGAATGATTAGTAGGATATTTAAATCAAAAAATGGATATATACTATAGATTGAGTATTTTTATTCTAGAAATTAGAGCAAAGCAATTTGACCAGAACGTAATTTAATAGATTATATGTCTAAATATTGTTAAGGCTCTTGCACTGAAAGTTTAAAAGAATTACATTTAATTTATTGTAGGATAACCTTTGCATGACAAAGATCTGCTACCAAAACTTGGACAGCTGTGTGTTATGTGGTTTACAATATGATCTGAGACAATAATATATATGTTTATTTTAAACTATTAGAAAAGTAAAAGTCTGTAAAACACACAAAAAGAAAAAAGTTTGAATAAAGCTAAAATAACACTGTATATATAGATTCAGTACATGGTGACCTGTTTCCACAATATCATAAATGATTACTCACTAAAATCAATAGTCCACATTTTTAGAAGTGGGGTTCTGTGGAAAAATTGTGAATAGTTATTATCTTATCTGTTGTATATAGCTCAGAGTTATTCTGATCATCTAGTATTTATTATTCTGGAAAATCCAATATTTGTCTTTGCTACAAGTAAATATATCTTCATACATGTAACCACAGATTTTATTGAAACATATTCAAAAGAAAATTTCATACATTTCTATTGGGGGGTAACTAGAACTTTGTTGCCACAAGTGTGTGCCATTGCTTTCCTTCTGTGTTTGTGTTCCATAATTTTTTTTTGAAAACAACTACTTCCTGTTTATTATTGGTTATTCTTTTAACACTTTATATTCTAAATKTGTTTTTATCTCTTATGTTTCACTGCACCCTCACATTCTGCACCTCACTTGTTGTTCTTTCTTTGATTGGCAGATTGTGAACTATAATTACTACTACTCCCTTAATGCCTGGCTGCTGCTGTGTCCCTGGTGGCTGTGTTTTGATTGGTCCATGGGCTGTGTGCCTCTCATTAAGTCAGCCACTGATTGGAGGATGGTGTGGCCACTGCTGCTCTGGTGCTTCTTGATAGGGTTGATAAACCAAGCCTTATGCTCGCAGGACAGCCAGAAGAGGAGGTAGGTTGGCCAAGCTTTCTCACACTTCCTGTTTTAGGAATGACAAAGATCTTGGCTTCTTGGTCATTAACTTGATAATGATAATGGTCATATCCACTGCAGTGCAACACTTCTTCTTGACTGTATAGTGTCATTTTGTTTGTGTGACTCATAAGGAGGTTTTTGAGTATCAGGTGTTTTTTAAGCTTATATTTGCTGCATCTGAATCTCATTTTCAAGCTACTGTATTGGGTATCAATGAAAACCACTGATGATGCGTGTTTTTTGTTACTGTTTGTTATTTTACTGTCCTTCCTCTTCCAGGACRTTGACCTTGGGTTTGGTGCTGCTGGTGGTCCCTTTTCTACCTGCATGTAACATTTTCTTCAGAGTTGGCTTTGTTGTAGCTGAGAGAGTACTCTATCTATCTTCAGCCGGCTACTGCYTACTGCTGGCCTATTCCCTGGGTCATTGCTGCTACCGCTGGAGCAAGTACAGGGTAAATGTACCACAACAGTCCTACTACAGTAACAGACTTTTGGAGAATCATGTTACCAGCAACAATTCAACCCCAAAATTTTCTGCATACTCCCAGGTTTTTATTACGGTATATTTTGAGCAGAGACAAATAGAAAAATAACAATGATTTTTCCTAAATAGACACAGCAGGTGGTGTTCAAGCATTAGAGACAAATTTAGACACTGTCGTCTCTGAATTTCTAATATTTATTTTTGTCTGTGTTGCTGAAGTTTCCAAACGTAATTGCTAAATAACAGTTAATGCTCAGTGATGTACTAATATTAATTTAATGTTTGATTAGTTATTCTAACAGACATCCTTTCAAACACTTTGAAATGCTATACAAACATTTACAATCATTAAAAAAATGTCCTTTATTGTCATATTTTAAAGGTGAATACCTTTCTGGGAGTAGTTTTTCTCCTGGAAATTACAGAATATTTTGCGAAATTCTAGGATTCTTTATGGTCTACCTCCTGAGTGATTCTTTTTTTTAAACTGACTGTAAACAGACAAAGAACTGCCAGAGAAAACTGTACAGTTCTACCCAGTCAAGATGTTTTTCTTTTGTTTGGTTGTTCAGAGAATGACAATAGTAAATCTGTTTGGAAATTTACACATGTTACGCCAATACAATATTTTTTTAAATATATTTTTTAATTAATTTGATGTATCTATAGGTTGTATATATTGATCATGCAAATGTTTTATTTTTCTACTTTTGATAGCTATTTTAAAAATTTCCCTGATTTAATACGGCATTCAAAGTTACTCCTGTGGAAAATTAGCCTTTTGGCTAACTCAAGTATATGTTTGGTTTTACATTCATTAATATACTTTGTATCTTTACATTGAATTATAACATAAATCTGTTTTTTGTCCAGACATTGCTGTTTGTCATGGTGCTTACATTACTAAGTGTGCATGTAGTCCGTTGTGCCCTTCGCAGTCATCAGTGGCGGTCAGAACAAAGCCTTTTCGTCAGTGCACTGTCTGTCTGTCCACTCAATGCCAAGGTAAACAACTTGTGATTCTAATTCTTCTGCTATTAGGAATTTCTTTTCCCAACTTCAAAATAAATTACAGCTGTACATTTAGCTGCTGCCTGAAACTCAATATGTTGATGATATTTTCCTCAGGTGCATTATAATGTAGGGAAGAACCTGGCGGATAGAGGGAACACTACTGCTGCTATCAGATATTACAGAGAAGCAGTCAGGTTTGTGTCCTCAAAAGCAACAGAAGTTGAATTAGTACTAACTAACAAAAAGCTAAATGACTTGCTTTGTATATTTATGGCTTTCAGGCTACATCCAACTTATGTTCATGCAATGAACAACTTGGGGAACATCCTGAAGGAAAGGAATGAACTTATCGAGGCAGAACAGTTGTTGTCCAAAGCTGTCTCCATTCAGTATGTTCTAAATAAAATAATACACAACAGCTACCTGTGTTTTCAGAGCTCCCTGTTGATGGCTTTGCTTTTGTTTGTTTAATCTGTGCAGACCTGACTTTGCTGCTGCCTGGATGAATCTTGGGATTGTTCAGAACAGCCTCAGAAAGTTTGAAGAGGCGGAGCAGAGCTACCGCAATGCTATTCGCTTCCGGAGAAAATACCCAGACTGTTATTACAACCTTGGACGCTTGGTGAGGTTTCTTAATCAAATGCTGTATTTATCCTGGTTTAGAACCTACCTAACAAATAGGAGTTTTTCTGTTCATTTAGGAGATTGTTCCTCCTCTACAGCTCCTCTGACTCGTGGGGTCCCGCAAGGCTTTATTCTAGGCCCTCTGCTTTTTAATCTTTTTATGTTGCGTCTGGGGTCCATTTTTAATAAATATAAGATTCCTTTCCATTGTTTTGCTGATGACATTCAGGTCTACCTGCCTATCAAGCCAGGTTTGATTAATTCATTCAAATCACTCCTGAGCTGTCTGAACGACATAAAAATCTGGCTGAAATTAAATTTCCTGAATCTAAATGAAAGTAAGACAGAAGTCATCAGCTTTGGTAAAGACATTTCTCCTGACAATCTTGGTCYTYTGGCTTCATACAGCTGCTCTGCTGTCAGAAATTTGGGTTTCATTTTTRATAATGTGTTCAAATTGGACAGGCAGAAAAACTCAGTGGTTAAATCGAGTTTTTTCCAACTAAGACTTATTGCTAAGGTGAAGCCATACCTCCCAAACAAAGACCTTGAGAAAGTGATTCATGCTCTCATTACATCTCGTTTGGATTATTGTAATTCTTTGTATGTTGGTTTAGATAAATCTTCTCTGCATTGATTACAAGTTGTCCAGAACGCAGCAGCTCGTCTTTTAACAGGAACTAAAAAATACGAACACGCATCCCCGGTTCTGGCTTCTCTCCATTGGCTTCCTGTTCATTTTAGGATAAATTTTAAGATTGTATTGCTTACTTTTAAAGCTTTAAAAGGTCCGGCCCCATCCTACCTGTGTGAGCTCATTAACATCCACACTTCAGTTAGAGCACTTCAGTCCAACCAGTTCCTCTTAGGTGTTCCTAGATCCAGGCTAAAGTTTAGAGGTGATCGGGCCTTTGCAGTCTCTGCACCAAAACTCTGGAATGGTTTACCTCTTAGCATACGGACTGCTGAGACTTTTAAATCTCTACTTAAAACTCACTTTTACTCCCTGGCCTTTCATTCTGGTAGAGTTCGAGATTCTTTTAATGATAATGTTTTTAATGTTTTTCTGTATTTTAAATTGATTTTAGTGTCTACATTTATGTGTTGCTCAATTGTTTTATTCATTCGGCTTAATTGTGAAGCACTTTGGCCAATGTTTGTTGTTTTTATGTGCTATATAAATAAAATTGACATTGACACTGTATTCAAATATACTTAAACTAAGAGATATCCTAAGTGTAAAACTGGAATACTGTATTATACTAAACTAAAACATATGTGTGCTAATATGACAGATATTTCTCTCCTTTTTGTGACAGTATGCCGACCAAAACAGACATCTAGACGCCCTGAATGCTTGGAGAAATGCAACAGTTCTAAAACCTGATCATAGCCTGGCTTGGAACAATATGGTCATTCTGCTGGACAATACTGGTAATAAGAAAAACACACACATCTCGGCCTCTTAACACACAAGTAGTGCTATAAACAGGAAAACTATTTTACTGTTTCATCATACAAAAAGTAGGTCATACAGTTTACCAATTTGTAAATGTACTGTTGGTAAATGTGTGCTTCMAAAGGCTATCAAAGGTTCTGTGTTKTGGGTGCAGTTTGTTTCAGTTTGATTATCCAAAAACACGGAGCTTTGTTATTTTTATACAAGCAGGAAATCTAAATGGCCAACAAGATTAGACCGGAAGAGCAGGAATCACCAATGCTTGAAATTTATGTATTAAAGCTTTTGTGCTGTGAGTTCAGAAGGCACTCTTCCCTGCCGTGTGGAGAATGCTCTGATTTCCAAAAGCTCGAGCCTTTTTGTCAGAAGCTGCTCCCACGGGGGCGGAGTCTCCCAGGAGGGCACGGGAACGGTCCAATCAGAGCCCAGTGTGTCTCCGATCAAACGAGGGCGAGCACAGCAATAACAGCGCTCCCCTCAGAGTCCCCCCCCACCCCCCCCCC